CTGCAGACCTTTGAGTGTTGTTTTGTAATGGTGGTGAGGGTTCAGAGGTAAGTGAGCCAATCCTCCACCCCCGGCTTTTCCCCTTTTCTCTCCCCTTCTTACCGTCTTTAGAATCTGCCTATTGTAGAAAAAAAAATTAGGAATTTCTGTTTCCTCCTGCTTCTTCATCTTGCTTTTTTCTTGCTTTTTAGTAATAAACATTTATGGATAATCCAGGTCAATTAATGGAATGATGTGCCATGGCACCACTTGTAATGTGAAGGTAGAGTTGAATCAAACTTTGATTTGTGAGAACCTTTGCTGGGTGTGTAACAAGACAAGCAAACCAGTGTCCCCATGACAAACTTGGATGTATATGCAGCTATAATGAGAGAGGTTCTCCTTCCAATTCTGTAGCTGCAGTTTTACTTTAAAAGGAAGTTGGTCCCTTTTTTTTTATGTCTCTTACTTTGGTTCATTTGGAAAATTTAGTATTCTCAAAATACACATTTCTCTCAGATTTCAATAAAATACACCAGTACTTTGAGAGAAGTTTGTGTAGACATTGTACAGGTAACTGAAGGTGAGGTATCATCGCTGTTATGGGAGACTTCTTAGATTTCAGGATTTCGGATGAAATCTCTAAGGACGTGATCCTTGTTTTCTTAAGTATTAGATGCACCACACCTGCCTCTTCAGGTCTTTGATGAGCCCACAGCTACACCAGGAGTAAGAGCAGTCCATGCTACCACTTTAGTTATGTGAAAAACTTTATGTAAGGTTTTCCCACTTTTTCCTAAGGAATGACTTATGGTATGAATTCATGTTCCAGCATTATCCAACTAAACTGTCCCAAATGCCAGTTGAAGCTACAGTTATCTGCATTAGTTCTATGTTGCTGACCTAGACGAGGCCCCTCATGATCTTGCCTTGAATGGTCTTTGTCCTTTCCTTACAGTCTATTTTTGTCCTTGTTTGGTAGCGTAGCCACTAGTGTTTTTTAAAGCAGGGGGATTAACCCTTCGGTGTCTTATAAGTTCTGCTGATGGTACTAAAATAATCTGATATAAGTGAGGAAGGCAAGATATCTGAGTGGGAAGAGAGCTCAGATTTCAATATTAACACTTGGAAAAGGAATGTAAAATTTAATATTATATATATTCAGCTATAAAATAATGGATGCCGTATAGATATTTGGCATTTATGCTTTCTGATTTTTAGGAATATGTGTCATATTTTGCTTATTACCTGTTCTTGGAATAAACTTTGGAATTTCTTTCTTGATTTGGAAAAGGTCAGGATACACTGTCATTTGTTTTATTATAGATGTTTTGAATAGTCATAGTCACTGTGATCTCAATCTCTCCTGCAACAAGCATTAGAGTTGTAGGAGTTTACTTATGTAAACTATTTCAAGCAGTTCTAAAGCACAATTTTTAATCTTTTATGAACGAGTGTTTGTGTATTTCTGTGAATAGGCGAGAAAAGCTTGATCTTGAAACTATATGAGCAATGATAAAGCTGGGGTTTCAAACCTGCAATGAGATATGTCTGTGCATGGGTGCTCCCAAGTTCAGGGCCTTGAGGACTGTCTTGACATAAGTATGTAGATGGATCCGTCATTCAGACCTGGCAAGTGGGAGCTCTGCAGCATGTTTTTCACTTTCATTTTGTTCTTTTGTAGATGTTACTATTTTAAAATTTTTGTTCTATTCTAGTTTGTCGTCTCCTGTAGGAGTATTGGGCCAATTTTGAAGATACTGTCTGGAAATTTTTAGCTCAAAAAGGAGGGAAAAAAGGCATTTTTAGCAAACTTTCAAGAGCTTTTGACATCTCCTATTTATCATGCCTCGAGAAATTGCTTTGAATGATTTAACAAAACAGAAAATCTCAAATACTTCCCTTGTGTGATAACTTACAAGCTAATTCTTAGCCAGAGGCAAATTAAATCATCAATTTATGCATTTCCTCCTAATGACATTAACAATAATAGAACCAAATTAATGACAGCATTATGTAATTACATATTCTAAAGGCATACACCGCTATTCGCATGTGAAAAACAAAAAAAAAATAACACAAAGCAGGAAGCTTTGAGTGATAAAATATAGGGCTAAAATACCTGGTGATGTTTTATTGGGCCTTTTTGCAATTAATTTTTGATTTCTAATGTCAATATTCAACTAATCAAATTATTTTCTGAATTCTGCATTAGCTACATTCACAGCTGCGGAACTCTGAAACCACAAAAAAACAGCGACATTAGCACTTGCTAATGCAGATTGAGAATTTTAGATAACTTTGAAATGGCAAACTTGGGTAAAATGATGATGTTTCTGATTTTTTTATTTTTATTACTATTTGGTATTTACTCTGTTAATAAATAAGAGGCAATCAGTTATGCAAAATAATTCAATGGACCTTGAAATAACAAATCAGAAAGAAGAGAGTCTTTTTCTGCTTCAGTTTTGTAGTATAAAATAGGTACTATGGTTCAAACATTTTTTAACCATTTTTAAGAAAGAAAAGATGCTGGAATGACTTTGAGAATGTTACGTTCTGTCCCATTCTCAGTTTGTCTTCTCTTTGACTGTTTTCTACTGTTTAATATCCTAACATATTGATGATAAGCTCTGAAACTGTCATTTCAATATTTTGTGATAATCAGCGTGGAGACAAGCTCCATCCCTTAGATTTCACCTTAGCACACAACTCCTTTCATTTGCATTACAAGTGTTATTTTAATAATAAAGGCATTGCTTTCTTGGCAACAAGTATCATAACATGCCCTTACAGATGTCTTGAATTTAAAAGAACAGTATGTTTCAACAGTTGTCGAGTTCTGACAGCTGCTCCTATTTTTTCTTTTTCAGTCTTTAGCTCTCTTTTATTTATTTTTTTAATTAATAGTGGGCATATTCTGTTCATGCCTGGGACAGTTTTGCCCTCTTAAGTGAAACAGGAATAATGCAGAACTCCCTGGTGGTCTCTGCTCACAGTTATGCTATGAAATGAGCCCTTACAGCTGAGTGTGCTTGTACTTCTAAAGAACTTGAGCATGGTGCTAGTGATTGAGCAGCTCCGAAGGCAATTTGGAGAGGAAAAATAAAATCTAAGTGAATTGAACATAGACCTACCATATTTCATCTGCCTTGAGCAATCCCATAGCTTGAAATCGTATGTTTTTAAATTAGTTGAAACGCTACATCAGTTTATTTAAAAATAAACATAAATACATTAAAACTGCAGTAAGTTCATTTGAACGAAATATTTTGTATTGAAGGTTCTTTTTTTAAAAAAAGTAATTGACAGCTATTATATATTAGTTAACTTGCATGAAAATTACTTAGCTTTGATAATTAAATTGGAAGATGCTGCTAGATGTAGCAAAACACTTTTTATCCTATATATTACAACATACAGCAAGCAATCTGAGAGCTGAATTACAGCTAATGGAAGAAGGACTTTACCACAGGAGCACAGTGACAAGCTCACTGAGGCTTGATTTTTTTTTCTTTTGATGTTAGTAGGTAAAACTTGATTCAATATTAATTATTTCAAAATCTCGCATATTTCTTCCTGCTAAATTAAAATTTCTAATTCCAGAACAGTATTTTTCTTATTCTTTTTCTTTTTAACTTATTTTTGGTATTGATTGCAGTCTGCTTCATGTGCCTCCCTCACACAAGACACGTGAAGCCTGTCTGTGAAATGAATCTCAGGCTGACATATAGAGACTTTATGACTTTCAAAACATCACCCTGCAACACATAGCAAAATCAGGAATAGGCTTTTGGAGTTGGGAGCCCTCTTTCAGTATCTAGCCTTTATATGGCATCTACCCTGTTATTGTTTTGCAAAACAAATTTCTGGTTTCCCCCCTTCTTTGTTGTATTTTGTTTAAAAGTCTCTTTTCCCTAAGTTTAAAAATAAAAAGGGAATCTTTGTCTTGTATTTTATATGCAGAGTGTTTATTTTGCAGCAGGAAAACCTTAACCCTCAGGGTGATTGTACATGCATTCCCTGAGCACTGAGAAGATACATGCTTCCTATTCTAGTGCTGCTTCATCCATGCTGGAATTCTTAATCCATCTAAAATTCCTGCACAATCCCTGCTGCACCTACTAAAGCCATTCCAGTGCTGGTTTCCTCCCAGACCCCTCTCCTGGGTTAATGCTCCGTTTCCATTGCCCTTTACAACCTCGTGGTGCCTCGTGGGGCTGCAGGCCCTGGGGGGTTAGAAATCCCTACGGAGGGCAAGGCAGCAGGAGCACAAAAGCTTGAGCTCGACCACGACAGGAAAGGGGCTGCAGTCTCCAGGTTTCCCAAGCAGGGTTTAGTTAGGCCTCCTCTTGCACAAGGTTACTGCAAACTGTATGTACCATAATAACCCTTTTGAAAATACTACCTTCCATGCATGCAGCAAGCACAAAAAGTCTAAAGTCAATCTGATGTTTCTAATTTGAAAAAAAAACATACACGCTAAGCATACACTGTGAAGAGAACGCTATGATGAGGATCATAACTGTTGGCAGATGTTTTATACCACTCTCAGAAGTCATATACTGTAAGTCCAATTTTGCAAATGCTTAGCTATATGAATAAGTCGACTCATTAGTCAAGTTAGTTCCCAAACTATCAGTAGCACTGCTATTCACTGTTGTTCCTGCAACCTCTTTTTGCCTCTGTTGGATGAGAAGATGCTGCCAGGTTATGAAGACACTTAATCTTCTTCCCTTTTCTTGGTCTAACACTCATCCTGAGACTCCACCTACAGCTATTGCAGGAGGCTTACTCCAAGATGCAGAAGGATTGATAGCCATTATCGTTACTTTAGGTCATACTGCAGAAAAGTAGTTTTTTTAGAAAAAAGATACTAATCTTTATTTTATCACATTAGGCTAGGATCGTGAATTGAGATGTTTAAGAAATGTACAAAACTATTCCATGTTCACATAGAAATCAAATCCTCACATCTGGCTCTGACCTTTCAAGAAATCTTTTTCATAAACCATTTCATTGAGGCCATGGATGAATTCCTTGTGATTTTAGGCTTGAAAATGGCCTTACAGATTCTGTCTTATAAGTCAAGGAAACATTTATTACTCTTCCGCATTTTCAAAGAAAGTGGTATCTTTCCATCATTAAAATATTCTGTGACCATGACAACATATAGAACCTAAAGCAGAAGTGTGTAAATAACATGCTTTTTTTTTAATAAGTAAATACTTATTTGTAAAATCTTCTGTGCCTTTCATGCATCTTTAAGTAGGGGATTAAAAATGATGGAGATGGTTCAGAAAGAAAATCTATTATTAATTTAGTGGAAGTAGTTAGATGTTCATCTCCTGTGCAGCTCTTAAAATATTTAGTTCTTTAATGATAGTAATATGTTCATTATAATGAATTACATTATAGGAGATTCTTTTTCTAACACGGATTTTGCTTCATTGGAAATATTTGAGACTGAATTAAAAATTAATTGTATCAATTATTTCATTAAAGCTAAACCTCCATTTTTTTCATTCAGATACAGTGGTTTAAACTGCCACAACATGTTTTTTTTTCTATATTCTCTTACTGAGGTGCACAAGATTAAAATGTATTCATTAGAATTTTTCAGCATGAACACATACATTGTGGATTTTAAGTACCTTCTAAAGCCTCTCCTAATTTTAATTCCTAAACTCCCAAACCACTTTTCAAGCCATTAATTCCCGTGTGAAATGCTATTAGCATTAGCACTGGCTTTTGTTAGTAACATTTGGGATGGAACCAGCACCCTAGTGCGATTCAGCTTTATATCAATATGGAGAATGCCGTTGCCTCACACAAAAAAGCTTTGTGCAGTAACACTCAAGAAGAGGGTAAGAGGGAAGAGTGTGGGCCAGGAAGCATGGCACAAATGTAGCGAGGGCAGCGATTAGCACGTGGCCTTTTAGATCTGAGTTCTTATATTGGACCCTCTGCTTTTACTTCCAGGTCTCCCCATTTGCTCCCATGCCTGAGCGCGGCCTTTTCACTCACAGGCGCAAAGCTCCGCGGCGGTGGGTGCACGGGGGCTCTGGGGGCCTGGGGAGACCCGCACGAGGCAGGGAGCAGTCTGACTTTCGGGAAGAGCCGAGTTTCTTGCTGCCTCCGATGCCCTTGGGAGCCCCCCTTGGGCCTCGTGACGGCACACGCGTGAGGGGCCTGCGTCAGCGTTGCTAGCTCAGCTTCGTTAAAAATAGGTGTGCAGGCACTGGTGGAGTGGAACGTGGCACCTGGGCCGTGGGGACACTGACTCTGATGCCTTCCTCAAACATCACCACCTGCAGTTTAAGTTTATTTTTACTGCGAAGACCACTGTCTTCAGTGCAAAAAAATACTTCCCCCCCGCCGTAACCACCCAAACAAAGCGGTAATCGGCTGTGCTGGTGTTACACAGGAAGTCTGTGGCGCAGTCTAGAAATAACCCCACATCTCTGTCTCAACCACAAGCACATCCTTCCTCTGTGCCTCCCCACCACCTCCTTGCTTTATTTTCAACAGGACTAATAAACCCTTTTGGTGTTAATGGGTTTGTTTCGCTTAATCTCTGCCTGGTTTAATAAATAATTTGGATATACTAGATGCAAAATAAATCCCAATAAGAGGATATTCAGTGACTGTGTTGCTGGGAAAGAAGGGAGCTTGGTTTCTTGCATACTTTTCATTACTGTTTCATCTTAAATTAATTCATCCAAGTCTCCTCTCCATTCTTAAACATCCCACTCACTGGATTCCAGCCGCTGGGATTGGTGACATCCTTTTTATCCCCAGTGCCGCCTCTGCAGAATGAGCCCACATCTAGGGGATGCTTTCCTCCATTGTGCATGATACTGTCCACAGCTGCTGGTCTGGAATGTTTATCTGATATTTCCTTTGGAATCCTAAACCACTTACGGAGCAGGCCAGAAAGAAAATCGCTGCACAGTCGGCTGTTGTGGTGTAGTAAACAACTCGTTGCTGGCGTTAAGCAGTGCCTGACACGTTGCCTCTGTGTTTTAATTTAAATTACCCAGCAGAGCACTTCAGGATGACTGTCCAAGGAAGGGAGTCTGCTAGGCATAACAATTATCCTTCCGTCTCAGCTGCTTAGGGTGTTTTTCATTTTAAACCAACATAGGACTCTGGAGCAAAGTTAGAGGGTATCTTAACACATTAGATTATTCTAGAAACAACACAGTAATTAATTCAGAGCTGCCAAACTCAGACCTAGCCTTTTCCAAAGTTCATTAGGTGTTGGAATTGGGTTGTTTTAGCATGGATTCATAACTATTAATATCTAATTATATTGTTTAAATGTTTTTGAGCAGCTACTGGAAGAATCACTTTTCTAAATAAATGCAGCATTGAGGACTCTTGAGCAAGCCACAAACTCCAAGTTCAAGAAAATAAGTGTGGACAGTTGTAGAACTGTGGATTTCATTGTCCTTTCTATGCAGCCCAGAAGCAAAAAAAATACACCATTGCAAAGATATGTAAAGCACTGGAGGGTCTGCCATGGTCTCACATTTTAATTCTGCACTTTTCAAGAAGTAAATTCTGGTCAAGACAGAAGAACCTCTGAGATTCTCTTCTTCACCATGTTTACAAGAAGAAAATAAACCATTAAAAATATTGTTCTCAGGAAGGTTACCAGCAATGTCAGACCAGTTAAACACGCAGAAGACTCATGATCGCTGCCCGTTTTTCCTAGCAGAAGGACTTTCAGAGTCACAGGAAATTAGTTCATGGGGATCAAGCACTGCAGGGCTCAGATGTCCTGTGACATTTTCTTTGTGAAGAAAACCTGTTCTGGCCCATCTTCCTACTAAATTGGTGGGAGAGGAAGAAGGCAATGGCCATTAAAGGCCCTAATTGTAGAAACTACTTTACTTTTGGGTTCCTTGAGCAAATAAGTCCAGGATGGACCAGGTTTATTTGTTTGTTTGTTGTTGGACTTTGTTAGACTTTTTTAAGTAAATTTTCAGTCCTTGCCCTCTGAGAACAGAATGAGTTTCAGGGGTCTTAGGTTACTTACTAAAACCACTGGTTACTTTATCTGCACCAGTCAGATACGTTTCTCTCTGCTTAATGCTGTTGCTGTTGGGAGAATTAAAGATGGAGATAATCCAGTAATGCACCAATATCAAGAGCATTTCATTGAACATTTGAAAGGTAGAAGTCTTCTCTGGGCAGTATTACACAGTTCCTGTTCAACCTGATTTTATGTATATGTGTATATAAAATTATTTGGTATTAGGCACATAGAAACTTTCACAGTAGCTATGCAACATGTAATGCAAAGCCCATTGGTTTGATATGGTGGCCTTTTGTTAAGAGATATAGAGGTATTTCACTTGGACTAACTTTCACTTACTTTTGAAAAATGACATCTTGGAAGAAGCGCAGACTTGAACAGTAGATGGCAATGAAGTATTTGGTTTGGTATTTTGTCTTAGTTAAACTTCCTGCTTTCCCAGCAAAATTACACCTACAAGGCCACGTGCAGCACAAATGAAGTAAGAAAGCAAATAGCTGTTTGTCGTTGTGCAGACCTGCATGCGATGGAGGTGCGTGTGCTTCCAGCGCTGAGGAGGCTGCGGGGCTTTCCGCTCCCTGCTGCCCTCTTTGGAGCGCTCCGAACGCTGTGCGGTTTCTCTGGGGCTTGGAGGGTGTCGCTCCCGGTGGGGCTGCGTGAACTTCGGCTGTGGAGCCAGGTGGACGGGGCAATTTCATTGTGCTGCTGTTCGTGTTTGGACTCTGAACGTAGGTTTTGGTTTGTTTTAGGCCAAAGAGCTGCCGACGTTCAAAGACAATGATTTTATTAATGATGGCCAAAAAATTCATATTGATGAGAACAACAAAAAGATGTTCCTTGAAAAACTCAAGAAGGATGTTGAGGTAAGAATGCACCCGTTCAGTTGTATGTCACTAAAATATGCAGCAAATTACAGATATGTTTGAACTCATAGCTGTAATTCATAAAATAAAAGCACTTGTATTTCAGGAGTTGATCACTGCTTTGTTGGCACAGGAGAGAGAACCTCGATGCCGTAGCTCATCATATTTTGTCCCAACCTTGGTGGTGCAGTGTTAAAATGGTGGTAACAGCATGACTTGGCACCCAAGTGCTTTGCCAGCACAGTCTGCCCAAACATCCCCGAGGGGGAGCCAGGCCTTGCTAGTGGTGTTTTACAGATGGAGAACGTTGAGGTGCACCAAAGCCATTGACCTTAGCTAAGGCCACATGTGGACTGTAAACCATAACAGACAGTGTAGGTTCCCCTCCTCACAGCTGTGCCTGCTCTGTTTCATATTAGTAATCCAGTTTTAAGTCATCTTTAGGATCACACTAATGGACTGCTTCGGAAATTTGTATACAGCAGTTGTACTCATTATCTTAATGCAGCTTTCGCTTGTAAATTTGTATTGGTTAAATGCAGCCTATACTCAGTACAGAAGTGGTGTTTTACTATGTGATTTTAAAAAGATATTTTGTTATAATTGATAAAGCTACTCAGGAAATAAGGGAAACTAAATATTGAGCTAACTAGTTCATGAAGCTTGGCTTCAAGTTCTGCAACTCTCCTGTGTTAACGCTCAAGACAATATTGTGCAGTCCCTAAACTCAAAGCCTAAAATCCATTTTCATTGTTGGCCAAAGCCTGACATCAAAATGGCCCTGTGCCTTAATAAACTTTGAACTATTTATATCAAAAGGAATGAAGTCAAAATTGAATTTACTTGTTCTTCAGATCTGTATCTGAATATTGTTCAAAAGCTGCTGCATAGTCACATAAAATAGTGTAACTTTAGAATTTACCCAGTAATTTGCTTTTGAAAAAAAGCTGGCTTCTCATCAATTCATAATGATAAAATGAAAATACTTTGTATTTAAAATATATTAGGCTATCAAATTGCTCGGTCAGTCTCACAATTCAAGATACAAGTTAATCTGGGCTTAAAAAGGAGCACAAGTTCCTTTAATATTGCTGTTGCTAACTAAAACTATTACAGTAGGTCAGTTTCAGACAAGATTTCAAATATGTGCGCTGAATGTAGGAGTACACTCTTGCCTCAGGATGTGGATTCTGTGCTATCATCTACATCATAGTAAATTTTAAGTACAATGTAATTGTAAATGCAAGGGGATACCGTGTTTAGGGGGGCTATTTTTTTATGGTTTTGAAATTTATATAGATCATCACTGAATATACACATAGATCACTACTGTGAAGTGATGTGACAGCTCATTTAATGGCAGGAAGCTATTTTTAATGGTGTTTTCCTTTTATTGGTCATTCTGCTTTTGTCAGATAACTAAGAATATGCAGTTTATACCCAGTGCATAAGCACTCAGATTTCACTAGTCTAAAAAAAATGCACTGCACTTAGTGTTATCATTATCTTATCAAAGACTATTTACAGTCAAACATATTATGGAGTAATATACTCAAATATATGGCTTTATATCTGCTTTTGTTTGTCATTACATAATTTTTGTTGTATAGTATTGCTCTCATAATCAAGTCTTATGTTCCTTTCATATGCTCAAATAGACAAATATTTATTATTGCTGTTTTGCAATCTTCTTACCCAGCGCTATCTTCAGTTCTCTCTTGCCTCATTTTCCTGCCTGCCCATTCCACTGAAACTGTCCTGGGAAAAAGCACAGAAGGATATATTTTTTTCCCCTTTAAATGTGACAATCTTTTCTTTGTGCCGATTTTCTTAAATCTCTCTGCTGTCCTCAGCAGCACACTCTTGCCCAAGACCCATTTTCTTTTGATTTGCAGCCTACTCCTTTCCCAGGGGTCTGTTCCCCTTCACACTCTTCTTCCTTTACGTTTATTGGTAGATTTTCCTTCTCTTTCTCTTTCTCCCTCTCTTTCTCTCTCTCTCTCTCCCCGCCTCTCGCTGCCTCCCTCTGTCAGTGTTTCTCAGGAACATAATGATGTGCCTCGAGTCTTTCCACGCCATCGCCTCTGGCCTCTCTCATCTGCTCTTATTGTATGTCATTCATTACCTCCGTGCTGATCACGAGGCAGCTGCTCTGGGTATCCTCAATGTCTCTTCAAACTTAAATCTATTCGAGTCTTTCGCTTTAATATATTAAAACTGGTAGAAACCAATTTCTTCTTTATTTCTAAAGTCTCCTCTCACTCTTCTTCTTCATGTTATCTTTTCTAGCACTTGAATTCATAGTCAAGTTGTTATTTTGACAAACTCTATACTGTTTCTCTTTTTCTAATGTTTTTATATTTCTCTTATCTATCTGTTATAAAGTCTAGCTTAAACCTCTTCTTCTTTGGTCTACTCTAACTTTTTGTTTGTAGCCCATTGGAGTCTCCAGCAATGGAAATGATTCATTCTTGCACTTTCTTTCTACGCCCACCCGCCCCCAGTAAGCTCCAGTTCCACAAGTCTTCGTACAGCGAGCTCCAAACCCCGGGATTGCTTTCAGGCTGCAGCACAGCACTGCTCTGCCATCCCCTTCCCCACCCCCTGAACAACTTGCTTATTCCTGCTCTCTTTTCTGCTTCCTGTATTTCCATCTCTCTCACCTTTCTGACTTATCCTGTTCCCCTCAACCCAGCGCTTTGTACATACATCAAGCATATTCACTTTCCAATTTTCTTCAAACTCCCGTCTTCAATCAAAATGCTTGTTCACATTCACATTTTGCTTATCTGATTTAAATCGTGAGCCTTTCACCGTGAAGAGAATGCAGCCGTCATTTCAGTTCCTCACAATATAAAACTTCACTACGCTTCTACTGCTAGAATATTTAAACATTGTTTTCATGACTTTTTAATAAGGATTTCCAAGGAGGGGTGGAATTTAGTGCCAGATGACAACACACAACCCATCTGATAGCACAAAGTCTGGTCTGGATGTTGCACGGTGACCAAAATAGCCCTAACTGAAACCCTAGGCAACCGTGACAGTGATTGCCTCACCCAGGGCTGATCTTCACTGTAGGAAAAAATCTGTTTACCTGAGGATTTTGGAAGTGTGCTACAGCTTTTATAATTCTAAACTGTAAGTGAACTATGTACTGTTGCTATCTCTTAATAAAGTATATTGCTGCTAGGTTTAGCCCTTAATCCTCCATTTTGTTCTCTCTTAGAAGAATCTGCTTTTTTAGGCTGATGACATCTTTACCTAACTTCTTGTGTTTGTAACTGGAGCTTACATTTTCCAGGGATATTGACAAATTGTTTATCACTTTCTAGTTTCTTGCTCAGCTAAAACTCATGGACTACAGCTTGCTCGTTGGCATTCATGATGTGGAAAGAGCTGAGCAGGAAGAAGTAGAGTGTGAAGAGAACGATGGAGAAGATGAAGGCGAGAGTGATGGCACCCACCCTATCGGAACCCCTCCAGACAGCCCGGGAAACACACTCAACAGCTCACAGCCTTTGGCTCCAGGCGAATTTGATCCAGCTATTGATGTTTATGGAATAAAATCCCATGAAAGTAAGCAATAAGAAATGTTCTTACATTGAAATTTTTTGATTCTTACCCCAGAATCCTAGAGACTTCTTAACCACAGAAAAGCAAAGTTAAGTTGCACAATGTAATTCACTCTACAGAAGAGAAAATGAGTTGTTCTTTGGTGCAGCAGAAAGCAGAAGATGCCTATAATGCCCAGATTTGATACTGAATATATTTCTCAAGTATATTGGGAGGTGAGGTTACAGTGAAGTACTTCACCAACTACATAAGCAACTCATATACTCATTTAACTATTTACACGCAGTGATTCTCAGGTTTTTTTCTCATTTATTTAGTGAAATTTAGTGAATATCATTTTCCTGATAGGTAGTTAATACTGTTAAAAGCACTCCAGAAGAAAGTGAGCAAACAGCATTCCAGTTTGTATTTCACTTAGTTGGTTTTGGCGTCGTTTTTTGGAAATTTGTGTGCTCTCACACCCAAGTCTCTGTAGCAGAGAAAGCCTTGTGAGAAGCGCTCTTTCGCATAAGAAGCCTGAAAGTGTGTTTGATGTTAATGCATAAAACTAAGTATGATTTGACTGTTCAAGATGAGGAATGCTGTGTCTATATATATATATATATATATATAAAATTTCATCTTGTTTTTGACACAGAAACACCACCTTTCATATAAAACATCACAGTTTTTCTCTCTATATATATTAACCATGAAAGAACATGTAACCCATATTACTTTTAGTGAATAATAGTTACTTTTTCTGTATGCTGTTTTTTATTTTACACTCACTCACTTTTATTTGCATTCTATATGAACGCAGTTAATCTCTCAGTTACAAAGGGTCTCCATTACAAAGTCTGTGACTCTGACTGGCCTGTCTTTGCTGCTGATCCTCATATAGCCTCGTCTGATGGAAAGCATTCTTACCACCATGTGTTTGCCTTTTGCAGATGCACCTCGGAAGGAAATCTACTTTATGGCCATTATTGACATTCTTACTCATTATGACGCAAAAAAGAAAGCTGCCCATGCTGCAAAAACAGTTAAGCATGGGGTAAGGATCTGTGTTGCTTTTTTCACTCTTATTCTGGTGGCACTTATGCATATTTGTTGTTTAGTATGTTGGTGTAGCACAGTTCAGGATGTCTTTGGAAAGGGGGGGAAACAGATCAGATTTTTGTTTCTTTTTTTTTCTAGTTTAACACGTAATTCAAAAATATAGAACAACAGCTACACATTACATAGTGAGAGTACAGCTCCCTTTCCAGATGTGTGCAGTGTTCTTGCCCATAAAGAATGCTGGTGAGATGCTGCCTTTTTAGGACTTCGTCCTAAGTTTGTGAGATGTTCCTTATTCTTGGAAACCAAGGGAGCTGTTCACAGAGACATGTGTTCTTATATAGCTCTATAAAAGCTCTTGTGAATGTGATTTAACATGTGGGATCCTAGTGATGGTTTCATTATTTGGTACAGCCAATCTGAAAATTGTGTCCTTGGCATATGACACAGCTCGCTTTTTAAGACTTGTAAAAAACACAATTTGCAAAATTAAGCATAAAAGGTCCTTACTAAATACTTCAAGACCATTCAGTGATTTCTCTATTTTCACTGAAATTGCTGCTTAACAGCAGCTACAGGACAATCACAGTGAAGTATCCCAGTCGTACGGAGTTAAGGATTATATCTCCTGTCATCACTATACAGTGATTTTAGGGATCAAATGTCATAAACTCTTTAAAACAAGACCTTAGTCATTCATTACCATAAAATCTGTTCTCTGTCTTAAGTATCTGAAGGACCAGGCCTTTATGTGTTGGGTGCTTTTTTAACAAAAGAAGTTGGAGCTTTTTCATTTATAACATGAAGTGATTTAGCATTCTCACAACAAGCCCTGTCCAGGCGTGCAGAGATATTTTTTGTCTCTCCAAAACAATGCTCTCATTACTCTCTCTGCTCTCAAAACAGCTGAAAGTTGATGCAGACCATATGCAGCCATTATCTGGCAGTTATTAAGGAACTTTGAGTGTAGCATACTTAAAATCACAGTTCTGGATTAAATAAGGAGTAAAATATGTTGTAAATAACAACTAGGACTATTAAAGCTGGCTGTGATTAAATATTTTTACTGAACTTTTGTACAACCATTTTTATTTATTTCACTGTCTACATCCTGAGCCACCTGAAACTGAACTTTGTTCTTTAATTACATCCGGGGCTTTTTTTGCCCTTTTTTTTTTTTTTTTTGCTTTTGTAAAATCAGGAGAACATAGGTACAGATGTGGCTAAGACTCTGAACCTCAAATAATATTAGGGATAATTAGGACTTGTTATTACTGTATATTCCAAAGCAGGTCCATTGGCATTCAGATAGCAATATTTCAATAGCAATATCTATTAATGGAGCAGCAGCTCACCGGATCTGGCTGTGCTAGGCCAGCCTTCCCTATACAAAGACACTGCTGCTAAGCAGAGCACAGTCTGCGGGTAGAACAGTTACGTGTGTGGTAGAAGTTGTGCAGGGGAGTGAAGTACAGTGAGAAGTAAAGGAAGGGGAGAGGGGAGCTTCCCGACACTGCCCTGGGTGCAGGGTATCGCTGCACCCTGCGGGGTCTGGGAAGGCTGCGGTGCTGCTCGAGGCCACCGCAATTTGGGTTTATATTATCTGCTTCTGAGCCTGCAAATGACATTTGAGTAACACTGTCAGTGCCAAACGTCGAATAAAATGTTGGTTCTTGCTTCTCTTCCCGCTCAATTCTCTGTCTAGGCTGGTGCCGAAATCTCCACGGTTAATCCTGAACAGTATTCAAAGCGCTTCTTGGACTTTATTGCCAACATCTTGACGTAACCCATCATGTTACACGGGACAGACACAGGACTTGGGGACAGCAGCAGTGGCTACAAGGGTAGGGAAAAAAGGAACTCAGAGAAGTGCTCATCTTGCAGAAAGCAACCCCCTTGTTTACATCTGCTGGCCAAGATGCCTGACGTGGGGTGGAATACGCGCTTTAACAGCTGCCTGATATTCCCAGCATAGTTCTAGCTATTTCTGACTCTTTCATGTGTGCAAAAAAATTAAATTAAATAGATCAGCTTTCTCAGAGTGCACTGTGACAGGAATACTCTGATGCTCCCGTCTGAAACGGAATAAATGAGCAAAGTGCTGTGGGGTGGGGTGGGGAAAGGTACATGCATGTCTAACCTACCATAGGGGTATCAAACTGTAAACTGTGGATCAGTTTATTTTTTGAACTAAAAGATACATGACAGTATTCATGATGATAATGATAATAATAAAAACCTTACGGCGAATGTTACTTAAAACTTGCACACTGGCACTCCTTAAAAAATCCTGCAACAGAAAGGCCTTGGCGCCAGCAGGGTTTCCCGTTCATAGCTTCATAGCAGTTGGGTTTCTGCCCCTTTTTTTTCTCTCTCTCCTGTTTTTTTTTTTTTTTTTTTCTCTTTTTCAGCATCAGGAAGTTGAGACTCTCAGACATCTGAGAGCTAATGTCTCTTACCTTACAAAGAGCTAACATGTACTTCATGCTACGTGTACATTTTTGCTACAGTGAAGTTACGTTAAGGGAAAACCTTGCTTGTTTCACTTTGTTAACTGAAGTTTGCATTTGTTTTATATTCTTGCAGTATAGGAACTAATAATGTTGCAAGTGGAAAAAAAAGCTTATTTGAATAAGCGCATAGTTTTGGGCAATAGTAGCTTCATCTTTCCCTCCTGAAAGATGTGCACACTGATAGAAATTCCATTTCTCCTGTAATTCAATGGGAATTTGAAGTTTAAATGCTTGTGTTGTACTGTTTAAGCAATGGTATTTTATTATGGATTATCCCTTTAAATTTAACTCTGAATTTTACTGTTTACATTACTAGGAAAGCAGGGATACTTCTGAATTTCAGAGCTGTGTACAATATATGATTTCTGAGTTTACATGTAAAGTTATTTTGCAGTACAAATGAAGTAATGTTCGTCCCCTTCCAAGATGCAACATGCAGCAGTGAAGCAAAGTGAATGTCTCACTCACCTCCATGCTAGAAGTTGTTACAATAAAATGGGAAAGGCCATTCCAGAGGGATTTTTCCCAAGGTCATCTTTTATCATCCAAATGACCTGTCCTCTCGCTTACCCAAATTTGATTGTATAGAACATTGCCTAAAACTGTGCTGATCTTGTTTAACTTGTTTGAAGTTTTTAAACGACGCTGCATTTCTTCTCTTCCTGTACTTCTCCCCCAGCGATTCCATGCTTGAAAAAAAAAAAAAGACGAATTTACATACGCTTAAAGTTTATCTACTTCTACACTGTGCTCAAGCTGTGCCTTTACAACCTCCTTTTGGGAATCGTTAGGGTTTTGTAGGCTGTTTAAGCCCCCCAGACGCGGGTGGAACCCGCGGCGCTTCCCCCGGAGCCTGGTAGTGGCCGAGGGCGACGCGCTCCCTCTTGCTGTGCATTAATTCTTTCCCCTTCCCCTACCTTCCCTACAGAGTTTTCTTGTTTTGTTTTTGTTATGTCTGACTTGGTGATGTCCGCAGCACTGTAATGTATGTGTACACTTCTATACTGTCTGTATTTAAATCACTTGGTACTGTGGCTTGGTATTTTTTGTCCTCTGCCTATATACCCCCCAGCCTACAATATCGCCCAAGTTTTGCTTTCTGAAGTATGAAGAGGCTGTGGTTCCTCAGCTGCAAGACCACAGCGAGACCCCGCAGTAAAAATGAGGTTGAGTCAATATTTAATTGTGGCCAACTAGTGTGCATTTTTAGACAATTTTAGAAATTCTGCAGCAAAGCATTCTTTTGGTCTGTGTAACAGTTCTGCCATTCATTATTGTTGATAAACTGTTTATTTGAACAGGGCAAGGAGGACTTATTATTGTATATCTTAGTGCTTAGATTACACTCCAAACATGAGCAAGGCTTTATAAAATAAAGCACTTTGATGACTCACTAGGTAAATCCTTTGTTCCTGTGTTTCGACTATGTTTTTGATCACTTACAGATGAATTTTGGATGCTAAAATGAACGTATAACCTGTATTTCAAAGAAGAAAAAAAAAAAAGAAGAAACTTTAGAATTTTTCATTAGATACTATCCTGCTTCTTCTTCCATGCTTATTTTAAGTGGCTTAAAACACTTTGCCTTTAATTTTGATGCATAGGCTGTGCTCTGAGAGCAAACACAGAGAACTGAAATTGGCAGTTTGATGGACTAAATCTTCATGTTACTGCAAAAAAAGGAAGATCCTCCACAGGGGTTAATTTAAAGAACGATTGGCAGAAGTTTGCCTGAGTGTGAAGACCTTAGGCCAAACCAGTTATTATAAAAACATTCAGGAATAAGTCAGAGGGATTTTCTGCTCTGGAATTGAAGGGCTTGGACTGTCAGGACTTCAACACGATGCTGCTTGTGCTGCACAGCCCAGGCACATGGCACAGAAGTGGCCTTTTCCCTTCATTCTACCTTCCAATTCTCATAATGCACTTTCCCCTTTTGATTTTTTTGGTACTATTGCATTGATATATCAAGAGAATATTTCCAGCAATATTTAGCTCTATAAAAGCCACTTGGTAGAATTAATGAAAATGTGTTTCCCATAGGGAAGATTGCTGAGTAGCCATTCTGTTGCCAGCAGGTGAAGCGATGGGGAGGGGAGAGACCCACAGCAAAGCAGGGCCACGGTCCCCCATAGTGCCCAGGCCGCGCTGGCCACGACGGCAGCGAGCTCGGCCTCAGCCTCCGGCACCTCCGAACGGGCACCAAGCTCTAGGGCTGCTTTTCTACTCGGGATGTGCGTGGGCTACAAGGAGGTCACTTCTCAGGGCCAGCTCCCTTGCAGCGTAAACCAAAAGCTTCTCATGGACAAAACCAGTGGAGTGCGACAGGTCAGAAACCTCCCGCTCTCCTGCTCCAACACACTGCTCAGCAGTTGGTAATACATAAGTGAGCCTTTCCTCTCTTTCTTCTGAACATTCCTAAATGTAACTTTCTGAAAAGTATCCTGCATTCAAGATGTTTAAGCCAACCCTGTCTTTTGACTTGGTAGTTTCATGGAGCGATTCCTGCAGTCACTTACAGCCCTGTTGTCCCATTCTCACTCAGCCACCTTCCTACGGGTGCGTAGCCCAGATTTCCTGCACTGCCTGTGGGCAAACTGCATCCCCCTCATCCCATCTCTGCCAGTGCAGGGACATCCCAGCCTGCAGCTGGTGACGGTTCCTCCTGCCAGTTCTGCACCCATGGGCAAGTCGCCGTTCTGCTCCCTGGGGTTTGTCACAGGGTGTCCTGCGTGTGACACCGGTGCCGAGTGCTGCGAGCGGAAGGGCCTTGTCTTTGCTGCAAACACACATGCGGAAGCACAGAACAAAACTGTGTCTTTTGAGATGTTTTCTCCCTTCTCACCTGCAAAACAAACAAACAAACAATTGGAAATTTATTCTATTCAAGGTATAGGATTTAATTGGCTTATTAATGCAAATGCTGCAGCGAAAAAGAAAGATTTCAATTAAAAAGTTGGAACCAATAGTATTACATGTAAACTACATGACCTAACTGTGTAATCTGAAGTCTCATTTCCCTTCTGACCTTGCCTCTTCTTTTCTGAAGTAGCACTAGTTGGCAAGTCCCTGCACCAGGTGGGATTGTTACATTCTGCTGTTCTCATCTCCACACCTGTATCCAGCGTGTCTGTTCTGTATGTGCTGTCCCCTGTTTCTTCTTGTTTTCTTTCAAACTTTCATAAATGTAATGAAAAAAAAAAATAAAAGCAGAGAGCAATTAACTTAGAAGATAAACTGGTTCTGTCTCTTCCTTTCTGTCCAGCTCTCCCTGCGGCTGCTGCTGTTACTTGAGCTCCTTTAAGGTGTGACAGGGCGGCGCGGAGCCGAGGCCGTGGGGCTCTCCCCAGCGCGGACAGCAGTGCCAAAGCACAGGGCCAGTTTGTGCTGCGATAAGGGAATGGGCTTGAATAAATGACTGAGGAAAAGCTTTAGAAAAGCTGCTTCCAGGGGCAAGGAAGACTCGTGTGAGATTAAAATCACTGTGTAACTGTAGCCTTCTAAAAGCAGCAGAAAATAGGGCTGGAAAGGACATGAAGAGAGGGGCAATTCTACTGCAGATAAACTTTGCCAAGATTGGATTAATCTTTTCCACAGCTTCGCTCTGCTCTCTTCCTGTGCCTCACAAGCTTTATCATGAGAAATTTCTAATGCCCTCTTTGACTATATTACTGCAAGTTAAGCTCATTAATATTTGTTCTCTTCCCTGAGAACAGTTATATTTGTTTTCAAGTTTTCTTAGAATGATCCTGCTTTCATGAACTAAACAGTGTAAATATTAGACTTGCACATATGAAATGGAATACTCCTTATTTGACAAAATAATCAAAACGGTTAAGCCAGAAAGAATAACCTATTCATTTTGGTTTTTTTTCCATTTCTTAAAAAGAATGTTCACATATTAAACAGTGCTTCTTAATTCTCTGCCACATTTTATTTACATGTTTCTAGACAGAGAGTTTCCTAATGAAAATGGATACACTTTACAATCTAATCCAAAAGTTTTGTAATACCTGCCATGTGAAGAGCAAGGGATTTCAAACAGGCACATGGCCATTGCTTACCTCTTGTTGCGTTGCTTTAATAGCAAGAAAAATACCATCTGTTTTTCTCTTTCCCCTGAGAAAATGACCTCAAGATTTTAACTTCCCTAATTATATTCCCAGTTCACAGGTCCTAGGCTCATCTCCAAGACAGTGATAGGGCATAAAATAATTGTTTGGTAGCAGGTAATTAAGATAAAAGAAATACAGAAGTAGTGACGTGGCATGAATTCAGGCCTGCCTAGTTCTCTAAGTATTTATACACATATTAGTTATCTCCCCATGTGCTCGGAGTTTATAAAGAACTC